CCCTCCCGCGCTAGCCTAAGGGCCACCTTAGCAAAGCGCATCCCAGGCTGCATAGCCGCACTACCCTACCCAACCATACCACACATAAACATGACACTACCCCCGGGGTTTACACAGACGAGCCGGCGAAGCAAGAAGAGCGCCAGAAGAAAGGGCCCTAGCCGGCGGGGCCCAGCCAGGACAAAAGGAGGTCCCACAAAGCGCCTACACCGGCCGCATTTGCGGTCGGGGTAGACGACGGATGGGGCCCACCTACGAAGGCTGTCCAGGCCTACACGAGATGAGGCAGGATAAAGAGGGATAATCCCCCTCGATCCCAAATCATTGAGGCCAATTTCTAGCCATGGAGTAATGGCGCGGTTTAAAAAATAAAAACAGAAAATACTATAAAAATTGAAAAATTTGCATATACCTTCTTAAGGTATGTTGACGCTTCTGACATTGCAATCATTGCATTGACTTTTGTGATCTATGCCCGTGATGTAAAAATAGTATGGTCAGGGCCGGATTAAGGGGGGCGAGATCTGGGGTCTTGGCAAGATCTGGCGAAATGAATTTTAGCTTTTTTTTTAAATTAAACCAAAACGTGTTTAGGTTTTGAAATTTTATAACGAGACATTGCTGATTATGTGACCTTTTTTTATTTATAAAGAGAGTTTGTAGCTCCAGGCCTCATCGCCATAGGTTAATCCTGCTCAAAGTATGGTGTACCCACTCGCATTTGTTAACAAGTAAAGTTTCTTCAAGCTTGTAGCTTGACAAAATATTTACGGTATACTCAAAGTTTAAGGTTACGTACACTCACGTTTATAACTGACCTTTTCCACAAAAATGTGAAACTTATACGTTGTATGTACATTATTAAGTTAAATTTTGTTTATATATAATTTATAGCGACAGTGCCAAATTGAGCCAGGCCCGGATCCAGAAGGGGTGGCGATATGGCGACCGCCACCCCCAAAGCACAACATTTTTTAAAGATCTTCAATTTCTCCAAACGACAACAGGCAGTTAGTCGATATTAATGCAAGTCCCCCTTCCTAACCTACACCTTATGTCATCAAAAAAATAACAACAACAACAACAATAATAATAATAATAAAGAAGTACTTTGCGCCACCCCCAAAACCAGTCTCTGGATCCGGGCCTGAATTGAGCTGGCTGACGAATCAAGGCAACCAACACACCATCTACTATCACCCTACTTCACTTCAGTAGAGGGAAAAGGTAGTATAAGATTTTAAATTTGTCTGGTAAGCATTCCCTTTAAATTTCCGTAAATTGTAAATTTAACTTGTAAATCATCGCACCTCTAAATAGTATAAAAAAATCTTAATTTCTATTCAAGAAAAATTTAATTCATTTTAAGATGTATAATTTTTACCTCGATCATAGGAATTAAATTTATCTTTCAAGAGGGCCTATTCTTCTTTTTCGGAGTAAAGTTTAAAGATCCATTTATTACCTTTGTATGTATATCGACGGCCTGGAAATATTAAGTGATAGACTACTACATCCCAATTTGTATATGTTTATTATAAAATATATATTCAAATATATAACCATATTAAAAATATAATAATTCAAATTTATCTATAACGGCAACAGGAAGAGTTGAGTTAACATTTTTTAAAGATAATTCCAAAAAACTTGTAAAGGAAAATTTAAAAGAATATTAAAATAGACTTACAGTTGAAACAATTTGAAATTTTAAATCCAAAAATTGATAAAACTACAGTAGTCTAAATAACTACATTTTCTACCTTAACAATAAAGATTTATTTGTCATATTTTATGAAATCGCAGTAAATTTCTAATTAATAATATTGTAGAAAATTTCACAAAATTTCTTTTGAGTATTTAAAATTTCTAACCATAAAACTTTTTTATATCGTTCTAAAATTATAATTTATGGAAGGTAATAATTGTTAAAACTCCCAGGTGTCCATCCATTTTAGACCGTTCATCGATGAATTTGCTTCGTTTGCTGAAGGGCCACTCATTCCATAGGCAAGCGGAGCAAATAAATAAAAACTGTATAATATGGTTGACAAGACTAACCCAACTAATATATGATAAACAAGTTTTGAAATTTGCTCTTGAAAGAAATTTGGAATCTCCTCCAACAAGTAATCGATTAGTATACCTAAAAGAAATGCAAAACATTAACTAAAACATATAATCTTACTCTAGCAACAAAAAATTCATAAGATAATATGAATTTACCTCGAAATTTGCACATTTTTTACAGAGAATTCATAAATGATTACAAGCCACATGACCAGTCATTTTGTTTGGAACAGTAATTTTATGTCCTTCACGTTGGCAATTAAATTTCGGTAAAATGAAAACAATTGGTGCAATTTTTCACGAAATTTTTTTCATCCGATCACATTATCTCAAGCGTAGATTATTTATTGTAAACGAATCATTAATACTGGTACCACTAAGATTTGGGGATTTTTAGTTGAAGTACCAGCCGTGAAATGTTAGTTGCCTAAGTTTGGCTTGTAATCATTTATGAATGCACTGTATGTAATATCAAATAAGACAAAAATAAAATTAGCTTAAATACCTGTGATCATTGAGCTAAACAACAGTGCTGGAAAATAGTGATGAAAATATAACACTCTACCCATTGCCCAGAATGGTACATAGTGCAATAACCATCCTAAGAATAGCCATGCACATGCTACTAATTTCTTTTTATGAGAATCTGTAAATTAAATTTGTAATACTAGCTTTTTAGCTTTTTGTTTTTAATAAAAAATTATTAATTTTACGTTACATGCATTTACCTGAGAATGATTTAATATATCCACGTTGTTGCTTGATAGCGTTAAACGTGAAAACAATCAAAAACACTAAGATAAAGACCAAATTATTCCACCATATAACAGGATTGCCGAGTAAATATATTCTGTACTGGGATCCAGAAAAAAATTGTCCCTATTAAAAAAATATTTAGGTACATTAATTTTACAAGTGTTTTCACGAAATATATTTACTCTATAATTTATGGGCCACTGCCATGGACGGGAAGTGATTTCCCCTTCTTTCGGCTTCAACCCAGCATTTCCTTGAATCATGACTGCATGAGATTCAAATAATCTTTCTAAGAAACTAGGCGCATATACTTCAAAACTAACATTGGGTACTGAAAACAAAGTCTAATGTTAAATAAACATTTCCAGTTTCATTCAAGCATATACATGGTACCTATTTTGCTTAGGAACTAAGTATCTCTGTAATTTATTCTATTTGTTTTCGCTTAGATGTTTCTATGAATCGAATCTTCAACTACTTTGAACCATTCTAGAATCGTTCTCCGTCAGAACCAAAACATAACTTATAATTGAGATATGTCCAAGTGCAACGATTGTTTTGGTGCAAAAATTAAAAAAATTGGCTCTATACTTCATTCTGCTCAACCCCTTATTTGTATTGAATGGGCCATATTTCATGACCCCTATTCTTTATATTTTTTTGGTTCAATCAAATATAGTTCTACTTTATTGTCTCGATGTTGAAAATATTTGTCTCAAATTTGTTCTATTATACAGGGTGGTTAAGATTTTAATAGACAAACTTCGGGAAAGTATTAAACAACAAAAATTAACATCACTTTGCTCTATGAACATAGGCGCAGAAAGCCACCGTTTATGAGATACAGAGCGTTGAAATTGACAAACATAAAACAATTTTGTTAAATATCCGCAAAACCGCTTCATCATTTATCCAAATTTGGTACATATTTTTTTTCAAATATTTCTCCTAGTTCTGTATGCACACAGTACAAATTCAAAAACCAGTGGTGGAGAAATAAAGATATAATTTCCTTATTTAAAGTAAAACTTCTACGCCACTTATACTACGTTTCTTCTCTATTCTCGCGTATACTCCCTAATACAATGCCATATCTAACTTATATAGTATGTTTTTCAGTGGACACTCGGTAACTATACAGGGTGTCCGGAAATGATGAGCAAAAAATTTAGGGGATAATTCTAGACCGAAAACAAATCCTACCTCTTTCTATAACATTTTTTCCAAAACTGATTATTAACGGAGTTACAGGGTGTTAAAGTTAAATTTTATTTGTAGTTTTTTTGCAATACCTTTTGCCACACTCATAATATTTTGACGACACTTTGTATACAGAGGTTTTTCGGGATGAGGATTATAAACTTGCCCACCGTTTTTTCGCATTTTATAGAGGGCGCCACATACGAGCCTTTATTTTGATTTGAATGGTTCCAACTTTTTTGTGCTACACTTTATGCGAAATTTGACTGAATATTTTTGTTCTCCTAACCTTTTGACATAAAAAAGGTATAGTATATTTGTTTCGATAAATATAACCGTTTTCGAGAAAAACCCTAAAATAACATTGCTTGCATGTGATGAATACGAAATCATTTTAATTTATTTTCTACATTNTCTACAAAATGCGAAAAAACGGTGGGCAAATTTATAATCCTCATCCCGAAAAACCCCCATATACGAAATTTCGTCAAAATATTATGAGTGTGGCAAAAGGTTTTGCAAAAAAACTGCAAATAAAATTTAACTGTAACACCCTGTAACTCCGTTAATAATCAGTTTTGGAAAAAATGTTATAGAAAGAGCTAGTATTTATAGTCTAGAATTATCCCCTGAATTTTTTGCTCATAATTTAAGGACACCCTGTATAGTCTTCTATCAAATTATTTTCAGGCACCTGTTCTAATTTGACTTCATCATAGATAACCTCCTCAAAATAAATTGTGTCCATTATTCATTGGTAGATCATTCTGGCATCATAATAATGAAATAAATAAATTTGCCCTGTCGTCCAAAATTAGTTGAGTATACTGTTTTATTTTTGTTAATTTCAACGCCCTGTATCTCATAAATGATGGCTTTCTCGTCTATATTCATAAAGCAAAGTAATTTTTGTTGTTTAGTCCTTTCCCAAAGTTTGTTTATTAAAATCTGGACCACCCAAATTCGTTTTATTTTTTCCCATATCAACTCTTTGTTTACCTACTTGGATAATATGTCTCATAACTCGTAAACCTTCACTTTTCGACAAAAATTCGAAATGTTTCACACCGTTATAAAATGTATTCATGTTACAAATTGATTCAGTGGTGTAGAAGTTTTACTTTATATGTATAAGGAAATGATATGCTTGTTTCTTCGCCACCGGTTTTTGAATTTGGTCTGTGTGCATACAGAACTAGGGGAAATATTTGAAAAAAAAAATGTGTACGAAATTTGGATAAATTTGACGAAGCAATTTTCCAAATATTAAAAAAAATATATTTTTCAAAGCCCTGTATTTCATAAACAGTGGCTTTCTGCACCTATGTTGATAGAGCAGTGTTATTGTTGTTTAGTACTTTCCCGAAGTTTGTCTATTAAAATTTGGACCACCCTGTATAGTTTTGATGGGTGCATGCTTATTTATTACAGAAACAAAAAACAATTTTAATCTCCTCTGAATCCATGAAATGCAAAAAGCTGTATTTCTTTTATTGTGCATAAAAATTAGAAATAAGACTCATTATTTAACATTTCAGGCGCCTAGATGCAAAACGTGATATTCGACATTTTGACCGATATTGAAAAATTCACATGGCTGAAATCGTATTTCAAATGTCTATGGTATAGACTATATCCATTAATTATTTATATACATAGGTATACAGTTTGTTATTACTTTGAAAAATGACTTGTAATTACCACCTCATCTAAATTTTTAGCTTATTTTCACTGCAAAACGCGACATTTGCATTATTATTTTATATTTTCTTAGCCACTTGACGTGATAAATTTTGAAAAACACTGTATTCAAGTATCAAAATCAGTACCAAGTATACTACATGCAAAAAGCAAAGGCCACACAAACACCCATAGTCAAAAACTCAAATATCTTTTATTGCAAATGTCGTTTTTTGTATCTAGGCGCCTGATTTTAAAGTTTACAACTGATTACCTGTAATATAATAATTTTCTTTCTGCGAGCTCCCAAAATTATAAATTCTTAACTCATGTATCACTCACTTCAAGAGCATCTTTGATGGATGCTATTCCAAATAATAAATAAAACAGTTACGGGGTGGCTAGCCCTTAAGCAGAATACCCTGTACAAACTTACATTTCTCAAAAATATTTTCCTCTACATTCCACACTCCGTTAGGATCCCGTAGGTTTGGATTACAAGTTACCTCTTGCTGTTCATATGCCCATTTAGGTAACTGCTTACCACTAGTAGTTAATATGCACGATTGCAAATAATGAACAAATTTTAATTTGCTACTGACTGCTGTAACTTGCGTTCCATCTTTTGCACCTGCGACACTGATCCGCCACACATCGTTCGCATCTCCCGTGCCATTTTCACCATAACCTGTGACTTGGTAGTGTTTCTTGGTTATGGGAGCTTGTTCTTTGTGAGAATGAAGGTTGCGCCTCGTGGCTATATGTTCCAGTCTTACCAAGTCACCGCTGCGTACGATCTCTACATCACTATTTGGCTCACTGTTGTACTTTTTTATTACCCATTTATTGTTGTCATCTTTATGGGTGTACGTAGTAATCTATAACATATAAAAGAAAATTATGGAAATGTGTAGTCAAATAATAATATTCACCTGCTGCTGTCTGGCTCCAATTCCTTCTGGGTAAAGATGGTAATGAGAATGCAAGTAGCCTCCCCCTGTCCTATGATTTTTTAATGTTATAATAGAACCGTACGCTACTTGATGGGGCATGCTGGCATTGTGAAGACTATTGCCTAACAAAATACTAAAATTTATAGCCCTGTAGTGCTAAAATTAAGTAAAATATTACCTATTAATTGAGACTGAAATGCTGAACTGTAGAATCCATCTCCATTACCGCTAAAAATAGGTATTCTATTTTAATACAAAAATATACGTGAGACAAAATAATATCTCGGTTGGACTCAATTATTTTGAAAAACGTTTCGGACAAAAATTATAGTGCACCGAGGGGACCATTGAAAAGTCCATATTACGACTTCCGGTCTAGACCGGAAGTGGTGTTTTTAGACCGAAAGTAGATTTTTTTAAATGGAAACACCTATTTTTTTTACCACGTATTTCATGTGAAATATGAAAAAAATTTTTGTTATTATTTTTTCGATTTAACCCATATTTTGGACATAGAAAAACAAAACATTTTTCGAAATAATCGAATCCAACCAAGATATTATTTTGTCTCAAGATAAATGCCCCACCCGGTATGTGTTTGTTTATGTCATTTTGAAAGCAATATTTTACAATATTTTAGATGCAACTTACCTTCTATTTAATACTTTCAGGTGAATATAAAAAAAAGAAATGTAGAGAATCACGGGCAATATTATTAAACAAAGAGCTCTTGCTAACAAATTTTTGAGGGTATCTTTCTAAAAAATAAAAACAGAAATCAGTTGCAAATAATACAAATGCTAAAATATTTTATTAGGTTTAGAATTGATTAATGTTTAGTTTTGTAATCAATTTGTTAAGTTTTCAGCATAATTTGTGACATTATTTGTATCATATTTAAATTATTTCAAACTGAGTTTTTTGAAATTGCCGCCACTAAAATAAATTCCATGACATCAGTCGGTGGTGTCGGTAAATCAGATTACGTAACTTCCCACATGTTCATTCATTAGTAAATTGACATTGAAAAATATTTTTTTTATATAAAAATGTAGAAAAAGCATGCTACCTAAAAAACATTTCCCGAAAATAAAAAAATGTTTGTTAGAAGATGCTTTTCCAACTTGAATAAGTTATTTGACATACACTATACTAAAAGAGAGGTTATATTAAATAATCATTTAAAGATTAACAGTATTTTAAACTGTTATAGGCCTTTTGCAACTGGTGTAGCTACAGAAAATGAACACCCTAAACAGAAAATTGCCGCTAAACTTGTGGAGAAGGCACCAAAGCAGTTACAGCCATACTTGCGACTTATGCGCCTGGATAAACCGATAGGAACGTGGCTATTGTTTTGGCCATGTGGATGGGGAATAGCCTCAGCAGCAGCACCTGGCTGCTTTCCAGATCCATATATGCTAGCATTATTCGGAACAGGTGCATTGGTGATGAGAGGTGCAGGTTGTACGATAAATGATATGTGGGATCGTGATATAGATGCCAAAGTAGAAAGAACGAAAGATAGACCTTTAGTGAATGGTGATGTATCACTTAAACAAGCCTTCTTGTTTCTGGGTGGACAATTAAGTGTCGGTTTAATAATACTGTTGCAGTTAAATTGGTACAGTGTATTCCTTGGCGCTAGCTCCCTAGGTTTAGTAATTAGTTATCCTTTAATGAAGAGGTTTACCTACTGGCCCCAGTTGGTATTGGGTTTTACTTTTAACTGGGGTGCCCTCCTAGGTTACAGTGCTCTTCATGGATATGTTGATTTAGCAACGTGTCTGCCATTATATCTGGCAGGTGTTTGTTGGACCATTATCTACGATACTATTTATGCCCATCAAGATAGAACTGATGACTTGCGCTTAGGAATTAAGTCGACAGCCATCAAGTTCAATCAAGATACTAAACTGTGGCTCAGTGCATTTGCTTCGACGATGATTGGAAACTTATTTTTATCCGGAGTAATGAGTGATCAAACGTGGCCATATTACACATCAGTTGCTTTGGTTGCAACACATCTTGCCTCTCAAATTAGTACTTTAAAAATTGATAGTCCCACTGATTGTTCTAATAAATTTATTTCTAATTCTATGGTAGGACTGATTTTGTTTTGTGGCATTATATTAGGTACTTTACTTAAAAAAGATAGGAATAAAAATAAAGATTTTATGAAAAGTATACCAGTCCAACTGTTAAATTAAATGGAAAAGTTATAATTAATGTGATAATATTGTAATTTTATTGCACCACTAAGTATTTTGAAATGTGTTTAAAAGAAAAATAAACGAATCTGCAAATTCTTCTGATTTTTACTGTACCATTTACTACCAATATTGAGAAGTCTAATGGCATAAATTCTAAAAAGGAAGGCCTTATTTGGCTAATTAAAAGGTTTTTCAGTGAAATTAAGTACAATAAATTTCACATTTGAGCAGTAAAAAGTAGATAAATGTATACATGTAAGTATATAAGTTGAAAACATTGTTACATAATAATAAGATTTCTAATAAGAAATAAATGCTACAAAATATAGACATATATGTTTACATACCAGGTGTTCAAAAATTGGAGGGCAATTTCTTGGATTTGGGTAGGACTTGCAAAATTAATGTTAATATATACATATATTTTTTTTATTGGGCTCACCCTTATTATCTTGCACTCGAGAGCAGTAAAACAATTTTTTGTTTTTCATTAAATTAGAATCAATTCTGTATGAAACAAATATTATTCGAAGCTATTTTTACCAATATATTCAATTTACTGATTACTTTGAGAGGCCGAACACAGTGTCCGCAGCAGTGTTGGAGGTATAATAATAATTTGATATTGATACAACTAATCGATTTTGAAAATTATTTGTGCATCAAAATATGTGTGTAATTTGAAAATAAATATCATTTGAGATTATGTATTTACTATGCTACATAAAAATCCAGTTGTTTGCATGTTATTATTATTACTATTAAGATATGTCGGAAATAGTGTGGTATCTTTATCGTTGCAACGTGTTTATCTAGAAAACAGTATATTGTACCGATAACAAACAAGTACAATACCTTTTTCACTTAAAAAAGTGCAGGAATGTTAAAACTAGTGACAAATTTTAAAAAGTACCTATTCCTATAAATTTTTTTGGCGGCCAAGACTGCCGAGGCTCCCAAAGTAGATATCAGTAAATTGAATACATTAAGCTAGAAATATAACTGTTATCAAAAAATTATCCAAATTGTGACATTTTTGCAAGGCCTCAAATCCGAGAGATTACCCATTATTTCCTGGACACCCTGTATTTATTTAAAAGTATGTATAACGAAAACCAAAATAATTCCAAGTCCGCTTTGAACCACAAACATGACAATAGAACAGAGAATTAGTGTTAAAAAAAAAAAATTATCAAAACTTACCACGGGTCTGCTCATGTCTCCTAATATAATCCATAAATCCCAAATGGTCATTATTCCTACCAATGAAACAACAAATAAACCTACAAACTTGACGGAAACACAACAGGCCAACATTGTTCCTGTAAATGATAACCACCACCACCATGCGAATGAGAATTCTTTATTCTGTTTTGAGGACACTTTTACTGCTCCCATTATTGAACCCATCATAAAATATAGCAATATGGGATCTAGAAGGATGTACTGAGTCAAAGTAATTAATCCTACATCTAGAACAAGTTACGTTTAATGTTTTATGTATTAACAAATTTTGGGTAAGAGCTCACCAAAAAGGATTAGCAAGGACGAAAATAACGCTGAAGTTGTACTTTGTGTCATTTCATCCACAGTTATAAATGACATTGGAACTATGGCTGCCCCCAGAGTGGCGCAAAACTAAAAGTGAAGAGTTAAGAATTAACAAATATAAATTGTATAAGATTATTTATTTCTGACATTATTTAGGTTTTCCAGTATTTTGTGATTTCTGTAAATTTAAATCATTTTTTTAAGAATAAAGTAAGCAACAATCTTGGCACAAAAGGTTATTATTTTAGTTGTAGCAATATATTCAGTTATTTATTTTATAAAAAAAAATATGTGATGCATATATTTCAACTTATATATTCTTAATTTACTTACAACTCTCATGCCTATGTAGCTGGTATTTTCATACTTGTCACCTGGTTTATCAAAGGCAAACCTTCCATCGTAACCAGTTAGATATCCAGATAGACCTATTAACATCTATAAATTTATGAAAAAAAAAATGTTTTGCTTCACGAAGTTCTTCTATAATCAAGATAATTAAAAATTTGTCTACCTTGCCAAGAGGGGGATGTACATCAAAGAAAAATGTTCTGTTAATATACCAACTACCCATTTTCCCAAAGTGGGTCTCGTCCCAACTAAAAGTGACTGTATCAATAACTTAACGATGTTATATAGTTTCTACTTACCAAATATGATCAGGTTCGCTAATTTTATGGTACCTTGTCAGAAGGGTGAGAAAACATACTGCACCAAATACCATCCACCAATGTCTAAAAAATATATATAACATTCTACACATCTAATCCACATATTCAAAAAGAAAATATTTATAATTTATAAGCTCCAGTAACTTAAAGATTGTGACGGAATTAAATAATCGTCTGCTTCTTGGATTTCAATTTCTCTCTCAAATACCACCACAGATGAAGACACAAAACATAAAATATACTTAAGATGTTATGGCTTTAATAATAGGTACTTAATTATTATACAAAACTTTTTACAAAGTAGAATGATTACTTTTGTATTTGCATTCTGACCTCATGTAAGGCATAAGCAAAATTGATGAAGCAAAATGTTATTTTCTATCCAATTTACTCTTAATTTAGAATACTTACTTATTAGTCCCAGCATTAATAGACTGTACAGCCATTTTTTAAATATACTTCTTCATTTAAAGTTCCAAAACGGCTAGAATCTGTAAAAGAAAGTTGAAACTATCGTCGACGTGTAAACGGATAAACACAGTTTTCCTAACCTTGATATGTAACCAACAGAAAATAACAGGTAAATTTTCTCTTTACATTTCACAAACAGGAAATCCAATTTCTTCTATTACTTTCTCTAAGGGCCCAACATATAACGACCATAATAGAACACAATACATTTTTTAATAAAGTACTCGAAGGTTATTGAACTAAAAGTTACGGTACTTTTAGTTACCGATTTAAAAAAAATGCACTTTGCGTACTTAACAATGTTGACATCATTTATTTTCTCTTTCGACTTCTTGCATTATTTATTATTTATTTTTTATTTTGTTAACTGGTGTATACAAACTATTCGCAAAATGCTACTTGCCATTTTTGTAGACCAGTGTTGTCATTTGTATTGTTTATTAGATAAATTGTACAGTAGATAAGAAAACATTTGTGTTTGTATGTTGTTCAGTTGTTGTTTATGTTTATGTGATGTTTACATTTTGTTACATGTTGCATCCAGTTTAATACTATTTTAATAGAATGTTTTATTCAAATTTTGGATTCCCTTTCAAAAATCAAGAAAACAAATTTAATAATAAATTCTAGTTTTTATACGTCATCCTATAATCGCTTGCGTGATAAATATCTGTTATATATTTGCAGTGTTGAAGCACAGAAGACTACACGATATATGGAAGACCAAGTCTTCTGTGGTTGAGGTATAATTTTAAGTCTTTTTCAATTTTTCACTCTACTTTTCACTTTGCATACTACTGTTTTACGATTTTTATGGTTTGAAAAAGTTGAAAAGTGAATAGTAAAAAGTGAAAAGCAGAATATTCTTTTTTTTTATTAATTATTAAGTACTTAGTCTGCACTTACCTTTCCAGTTTTCAATTAGTTAGGTACTGCAAAATGAAAAGTGAAGTAATTTTGTTTCTTAAACTTATTTAATGTACTTTCTCAAAATGGCATTTGGAAGAGTAAATTACAACAATATTCTAAGGAGAAAATTAATAACATAACCATGACGTAACACATACTCTGGTAAGTTTTCACAGTTGAAGTCAGTAACTAATACCTAGCTTAGACATAGTAGAATATGTCTATCTATTCATTACCTCCACAGCCTGTTGTACCTATTTATTTACATGTATATCTACTATAACTAAACACTTATCGTGCAGATAATTTTTCTTAGAAGAAAAACAAAAAACAACTGTCTTAGACCATTTACGTTTATTAAATCAAATTTTTATAGGCTATGAAAATGATATAAAAATAAAGTTAAACAAGCTACCTTATTTGATTATTAATAATCTGTTGTAAAATTTAAAAAAATAGACGTTTTTTAACATTTAATGGCAAATTAGTGTCTTGTGATGTAAAAAATATTTTTAATATTTTAATAACATTTAAATTAACAAACATTCAAAGTTAAATTATCGTTCTCATTATAAAATTTATAATACAAAAACAATACTTTATTTTATTGAAAACAGTGAAAGTTAAGTTTAATTAAAATTATCTAGTTATAATTCAAAAAGAATTATTACATTAGTGTTCCTTGTTCGTTATTGTAAAATGTGGAGACTTCCATTATTCGTGTATTTCAAGGTATCTTGGCACCTCCACAATTCCAAATGTCTAAAGCACGCAAAACATAATTAAGCTCCGTTTCCCATTGCTTCATATCAGAAAGTTTATCGGCTGATAATAAATATTTTCTCTCTCCTTCCTTGTATTTAACAGGAACCATAATGGTTCTTGGTCGGGCACACAAACTTCTATCTACAGCAGAAATTTGTTGCTCCACACAATATTTTAGATCTAAGCTTCCTAGGGGATTAGTAACTTCTTCCGAGGGGTGGTTCCAATATTTTAAGACGGTTCTTTCCAGCACACACCACCTCACATTCCAAATAATACAACCATGCTCATTATCCAAGCCTATGGTTAGAAAGCCATTCATTTTGTTGTTTAGTTGTACACTACTGGTAATGTTCACCGAAAACATTCCTGACAAAGAACAGTTGAGTGGAATGTTGTGCATTTTTAATGTTTTGGACGAAGATGTGTCATTACTAGACTTAATTTTTGATAAGTCTGGATTTCTTATATCACATTTTCCGCATAAAAGAAAAGACGAAGGCCTGATGTACAAACTTTCATTTCTTATCTTGTACCTTCTTGAGACTTTATTTAGGAAAAATTTTTTCGCCGAAGGGCAGTTAGTTTGTTCCTAAAAAATAATTTTACATTTATATTGTTATGGAAAAAGTTCTACAATGAAATTACTATACAAGGTGGTTAATTTTTTCACTCCAAGAATAGATTATTAAAAAAAAATTATAGTTTGTTAATTACAACTGTGAAAAATGTTCTCTTTTTGAGGAATGGCATTTTTAAATTTCCATAGGAAAACATTTTCTCGAATATTTATAGGCATGTGCCTACCATGATGGTAATATCAAAATACAATTTTCACAAAATTTTCATTTTTTTTTAGAAGTGTTTTTATTGTAAATTTAGCAGTTTCTGAATAAAAGAATAATTAAAAATTAAATTAGATAATAAAACTTGCATGGAATAAATTTCTACACATTTTAAAATTATATATTTTCCATTATACAGAATGTCCCATTTCTTCTAGTATGTAGTTATACAGGGTGTATCTTAAGTGATGACTTTAATTTCAAGGGGTGATTCCTTGTCATATTTTAAGCAAAAAAGTGCATATGAACATCGGTCCGCAAGTGCTTCGTTACCGAGATACAGGGTGTCAAAGTTCGGAAAATAAATCGCATTTTCTTAAATATCTTTCGACTGATTCGAAATAATTTAATGAAATTTCATACACGGGGGTTTTTTGGAATGACAAATTCAAAGCTGTGGTTAATTTAGGTGTATTTTTTTGAGGGCGGTTTTGACAGTGGCAGTTCTCATTTTGAGCATTTGATTTAATTCAATTTTTATGATGTTTCCATCCCAAGTAAGTATAAATGCGTTTTTCATGGAAACGGTTGCTCCTAGCTACTTCATTATTGGCGCCCTCAAAAAAATACACCTAAATTGATCACAGCTTTGAATTTGTCATTCCAAAAAACCCCCGTGTATGAAATTTCATTAAATTATTTCAAATCAGTCGAAAGATATTTAAGAAAATGCGATTTATTTTCCCAACTTTGACACCCTGTATCTCGGTAACGAAGCACTTGCGGACTGATGTTCATATGCACTTTTTTGCTTAAAATATGACAAGGAATCACCACTTGAAATTAAAGTCATCACTTAAGATACACCCTGTATACCTAACTGAATTTTTACAAATAGAACACTCTCCTGTATCTTATTGCACTTTTAGCTGTTTTGACATAAAAAAAACGCGTCCTAGTTGGCCGTGAATTGCATTAATAAAAACAGCAGCATTAGATAGTTTTTTATCCTACATTCTAAAAAAAAAAAAAATTGAAATCGGTCAAAAACAAAGAAGCTACAGGCTTGTATCACATTTAAGCGCGACACCCTGTATATATTTTTTCTTTTTTTTATAGATACCTCCCATTTCTAGGCCTCTAATGAAAGTAAATAGTTAAATACTGCCTCCTTATTGTCAATTGCGTGTTTGAAATATTTTCAAAAGAAATTATCTTCTACATCCCCTTATCGAGCCCCATAGCTCAAAAAGTAATTATGTTTAGAATAATAACAATCATTATTTTTTTATAAAAAATATAAACATCCTATATACATTTTGGAAATATGTAGTGTCAAAGGATGGAGTTGAAAAAAGGAAGGATTTTTGTTTATTTAAAAAAAAAAAAACAAAAAAAATCATTCTGCTTTTGTTCAAATGCAAAGAAATGTAGTTTTAAGTGAGCCAGCATATACATGGTGTCCCATCAAGTAATAATTTGAGATGTAGTAGCTAATTTTTTCATTAGAACTCAATAATACAGTATGCCAGTTAAGAGACATAAAAGCTAATCATTTTCCAACATTTATATTAATATATACAGGGTCTCCACATATATTGTTGCCGACGAGAACAAATTTTTGAGGAGAAAATTTGACATTTTAGGAAAGGATTCTGCTTCATTAAAAAATAAATAATAAGTCCTTCTCCTTAAATAGAAACAGAAAGGTTACTTAAATAAGTATTCTGTAATAACATAGTCTATTACCTATGTCACAAGTTGACAACAATAGCATACAATTCGAATAATAATAATAATTTTTCAAATCAAATAAAAATTATTACTGCAATTGTTTGTAAAGGTCACATTAACTTTTGCTGATGATATTCACTGATAAAATAGGTACTACACATTTTTTTATGTATACACTCCATTGACCTACTTTGTGATATATTTGTGATTTTTTTGTGATATTAGGAATTCTTTAGAATATTTTTTTTTAAACATAAAATTTGTTGATATATGAAAGAAGGGACTGTACACACACAGAAAATACATGCTTTGCTCTTGCCCACTTAATTTTTCAGAAATGAAAAAAATTCAATGAATTACTTTTTAATCATACATGTTTGTTTCCCAAAATCGAGTTTAAACATTTGTTAACATTCACACCTACAGATACGGAACAAAAATGATTTTATTTTACAAAATGAGAAATAAAAAATTTTCCTTATTTTCGGCTCTTTCAGAGAACACAATATATAAAAAAATATCAGTAATATCATATTAGTACATTCTTACCCTATTATGATGCGACTTATGTTGCAGCCTCATTGAATATATACATACTGAAATTTCAAAGTCTGTAGGTAAATTTTTAAACTCAAAACTTTTCTCTGTGTACACCTCTCCACTTTCTGTCGCTACAATAACGTCACTTGCAAGTACTGTACTTCCACAAGTTAAAATCACAACAAATTGTTCTGTTGGTTCTCCATGTGTATTATTTTTAAATTCATCGCTTGGGGAAAATCTTAAATTGGTTAGATTTATTTGCCCACAACTTCTAGGATCATCCTTCTTTTCATATGTATCGTCATCTACATTCTCTATTTCTTTAGTTAAAGCTGCTTTTGTGCATACTGGAAACATATTTCAAACTAAAATATAGGTGTGTATTTTTTATATATAAATTCATAGCAAAAATAGGAGAACGTATTTTGTAACGTAATAACACCCCGGATAACCACAGAAAATGTTTTATGATTAAATAACAATACAAAAAAATATAATTAAATACAAACTATTAAAAACTGAAGGTTTTGATCAAATAAACAAAAAATTGCACCCAAGCAGACAAATATTATACCAAAAGATAATATTCCACATTGAAAGAAACTTACATGCAACTAATAATATTTTTTCTGCTTCTATAAATTCTACAGTGGTCTCAAATCCTTTCATTGTCCTGCAATAGTTGAGTGCCTTCGAAACTTGAAATAAAATCTCATTTTGAAGTGAGAGTTCTCTCATTAGGTAGTCTGATAAAGAGTTATCAGAAACAACAGACTGACGGTTGTCCTTGGCGTGATCTTGATTTTGAGGAGTCTCTCGCAGGTTTATGGAGTTCCTTCTCATGCTGTTTTTGACTGAACTATACAGACAACTCGCTCTGGAAAGAAGGGATGATATGTCAGAAGGTCCCACAATAGAGTTTTCTGTTTTTCGACTAGTTTCTTTTGTTTCGTGCTCATCCTAAAGTAATGGAATAAAAAATGTTTAATATTTCTTAGACAATAACAGTATCGTTATTATAATTCAAAAATATATTTTTGCTCGTTATTATAAATGATTAAGTTGTATTAGGAAAAGTTCAGGTATGGAAAAATATTGCTTTTTGTTTTTGAGATACAAGAAATCAAAAATTATTTTCAACAATGTACTGCAGTCAAATTTGATACCTACAAGTGAAGTTTGAGATAGTCTAGATAGAAACAATTAATTTTCAGCAGTTTCAGCACAAGTATCTCAGAGTAAAAATAAAAAATATTTCTTTCAGGCCTTTGAAAAGTAATTATGTAAATACTCAAGTCGTCTAAAATATTCTAATAATTTTTAATATTAGATTTTTTAAACATCAAAGAAATATATTACATTAAAAACATGTTTGTATTATTTTAGGTCGCCGATAGTGGCAAATTAATAAAAAAAAGATCTGCAAAAACATTGGGGAAACGGTAAATGTAGTTTAAAATATTAAATACAAAAACGCTCAAATTACAGAAGCAGTAAATAACGTAAATTTTAAGTATAGGTATTTTAGCAATACAGTTACGAACATGTTGACACCTATCCTATCAGCATTTTGAAGTAAAAATATCGTAATTTATTTTTTTACTTACATTGGCAATTCCCGATTCACTCGACACGTTCGTCACTTCCCCAATCGCGTTCTCTAAGAACTTGGTTGGGTCGTACTCCGAAAAACTTGTCATATACTTATCATTACTGATAGCCGAAGAATTCAAGGACGACGCGTCTAAATCCTCTGCAGTTGTGTCGATATTGACATCATCGGTGGATTTTAAAAATCTCAGATCCTTTGTTTGCTCCTTTATGTTTCGTGGGAAATAGAATCTGTTTCTTTCATCGGGAATTCCGCTGCTAGGAGTATCGATGGAACTGACACTTAAGGGGGAACAATTTGGAGGCGAAGAAAATACTGTGTCGCTGTACTCGTCTTCCGACGAGTCTATCTTCGATTTTCTTCTTTGGTACATGCGGTTGTAATAATGGTTCAACACGCCGTTGTATCTGTTGGTTATCAGTTCGTGAATGATTAGCGAGTCGTTTCTTTCGACGTTCGCTTTTTTGAGTAGAGCAAGTCGGCCCATGATTGGTTTATTGTATTTCGGCGTGCTTGGACTTGATTCCTTCGTTTTCACCGACTCGCAGATATTCTTCTCCATCGCAGATTGTTCCTTTGAGAGACTGTTTACTAAGCTTAGCGTTGGGCTGTTTATTTCATTGTTGTTTATTATTTTCAGCTTTGGCAATTTGTTTTTGTTCTCGTCTCTCTGGCCGGTGCAATGATTTTTTGTTACGATCAAGTTGTTCGTTTTAGCTAGATTTATTTTTTCGGCATTATCTGTGCTAGCCTTCATATTGTTCATTACATCGTTTACATATGCATTTTCATTGTTTTCGTCGCTCGTCTCATCTTCGGATAACTTATTGAAAGTTGAACAGTGCAATGGAGTGCCATTGTTAGAAGATATAGATATGTTTATTTCGGACATTCTTACAGGGGAATCTGTAATAAAATTTAATTTTATCTAGATTTCGATTATTTTAAGAACTATATCAAACCGGTCTTTACTCAAATTTTCATTGATGTCCGTATCTAGGATGTTCATTTAAATCTAAATATTTCAAATTAAGTAGGCATTCAAAAATTCTTCATATTTTGAAATACACATATACATAAGCAATCTACTGTAAATGCATTGAAAAAGACGTACTTAGGTGTACATCTAAAAGTAGTATAAACGCGAACAATTGCATTTTACATTTTATAGTTTGAACGATTTTCGTTTTTCTTATTTCAAATTGGACTGGGTGTCCACATCTGTTTTGTTCTAGTTAGTTAGTTATAATTTTTTGTTGATTAAATTTAAAATATTTCTACAAAGTGTATAGGAATACATACGATCGTCAATTTTAATTATTAAAGGAACAGAGCAAAAGCCAAAGAATACAAAATACATACGCTAACGATTTTCTTGGACATTAAAAAGGGGTATTAACGCAATTAAAATTGTATTTCAAACAAAAAATTGTCATACATTTGTGAAATGAATACATATCTACTTTAGAATAATTTATATTTATTAAATTAAAAAAATGTATAACCTGTTTTTCGAAGAAAGTTTGTAAGTTTAACATATATCTTTAAGAAATAGGTATATGTATGTACCAGGAATTTCCACTAAATACATTTTATGCAGCTTTGAAAATATTCAGTGGTATAATATAAAAATAGGGTTTTTAGTGACAGTGCCTCCTATTTGCCACTGGTTAACAAATTTATATATCAATCAAGGAAAAGTTTTGTAATTAATTAATTATATAACTATGAACATCTTCATAGATATTGTGATGTTTTTTTTAATTTCAACAACAAGTGTCTCAAAAACCACTGACCACTGTCACTATATTTTATTATCTCCACATCATCAAAACAAATGTTCTTATAAAGTCGTACACATTATAGGACGAAAAATAAATTCTATTTGATGTATGACTATTATTTTGATAAAATCGTCTTTCTTCGTCATTGGATGTCTTTTCCTCTTATAATGTGTGTATTACATCGAACAGAGATAATTTAAATTATCTTAATATAAAATACATGTCTAACGATTAGTTGTGTACCGTTGTCAAATTGGTTGAAAAAAGCTTCAAACTTATTCGAGAAATTAAAGTAAGATAATATAATTTTTTTTTGTAAATTTTTTTCTAGTAGATATATGTATAAGTATTGGTTAAACACATTTAAACATGTTTTTTGCCTATCCCTCTAAAATTTATAGTGTATTCTTTAATTCATATATTCAGCTAATAATAGTATAGAAAAACTCGTAGAAAAATGGATAGCTGATACAGCATCCAATAAGAATTTCATTTATACTTACACATCTGTTCTCTCTTGTCACTAAATGTATGTAATACACTTTTTATTAGTTGCTTAAAATCTTCCATATGTATGGCTTTCTGCACAAAATTAGTATTTAATTAACTAATTAAAGTATATCCTATCACAAACAAATTAACAAACGTTACAAGTTCGTTGTACTAGCGACTAATCTTGGTTAAATATTTTGATTATACGTTTTCAAGCTACCATGGGTACGCAAAAAGTATGTGTGATTTTTTGTAAAACATTAAAAACCTTAGTGTTCATATCGGAACTTCATTTTAATTTTGAATAGAATATTGCAACCAGTTTATCGAAATAATATTTTATTGGAATGTACATTTGATTAAAAAAATATGCCGCAAGTGTAAATTTAAAAACATGAAGTAGGTATTTAATTAACAATAAAATCGATTGTAAAAATTGGAAGAGCGTTTTCCTTGTCCAAATTTAAGAGTATGCTCCTGTATAAAATTTGATTTTGAATCTCTGATTTCTGAGATAAAGGATGTTAAAGTTTAAAAAATATACCTATAAAATATTTTTCCACGAATGAAGATATTAAAATGAAATTTTGTACACATAATATATGATACAATATATTATGTAAAATCATCTTTTAAATGTAATAGGTATATTGTTTTAAATATATTGTTAAAATGTTAGTGTAAATTTTTTATGTGAAAATTTTCTTTTCTTTTACCCTTATTTTGTACATTTGTGCATTCTGACCCTCTCTCAAAAATAACGCTTTCAGAAATATTCATGTCTCGGAAAAATCAAGCTAAATGGTTTCTTGATTTTTATTTTTTTTAATTATTATATTTACAAAGTTATAGCTGAATAACTTGTATTTCTGAGAAACGGAATAAGTTATACAGTAAAAGTGATACGATAGTCATTATTTTCTCTACTTCCGACCATAATCTATACAACACCCTGTATATTAAAAGTGGGGCAAGATTACATTTCCGGTTTATAAATATTTTGGCTATACTGATCCTAAGGCTGTATAAAAATATTTCAATTAAGTAATGAAAGATAACTTACTTTTCGACATTTCAAACTTGAATCATCACCACAACTGTTTCTTGTATGTAAATGCACAGCATTGCTGATACCTAATTCTGCAGCTCCTCATCGATTTATGACTGCAGTTGTTAACGTGAACAATGTTTAATTAGAGACTAAATGGTAAATAAAACTATAAACTGGGATACCCAATTTTTTCATTATCAGTTAAACCTACCGATTTTCAGGGCAATTACCAAATAAATAAACCACCCAGCGCCAGCGGTCCTTGCTAATAATAAATAATTATTGTTTTGATGCCTGTGAGACGGGAAAAGTCAAATATGCATTACTGAAAATGAATCACATTATCATCATAATATTTAAAATATGATAATATATTTGTTTAAAAATAAATGCACAGGAAGTGCAACGTATTAAGTTACCTAAATATCTTAATATTTGAGGGGGTCACTGCTAATTAATTTCTAGAAATGCATCAAAAAAATTTCTGCCAACCTAATATTTACCACATATTTATTGCGACACATATGACAACGTCACTTATCGCTCCAAGTCAAAATTCAAGAGTTTTTAAAGTTTGAACTTCATATTTTCCACAAAATGGGAGACCCTAATTTGGTTACAACATGCAATTTTCACGGACAAGAATATTTATTTAAAATGAACATTTTGTGTAACAATTTAGAAATATTAATAACGGATAAAAGCTCTGGTGAAGAATGGCAGTGCAGCTACGACGCTACATGTAAAGAAGTTCATTAGTGTTTTATTTAAATTTGAAACGATTAAATTCTGTTTGCAGATATAGAGAACTTAACTCATAAAACGGGAAATTTTAAACAGTTTGACATTTTTGTGGCGATGATAAAATCAGGCCTCTTAAGGGTATGTCTTACTATTTAATACACATACACAAAAATCTGTTTAATGAGTATTCTACTACATGTTTAGAACAGCTATTTATTGAAGCAGCTGAATATTATTAAACTACAGTTTCCTGGACTTTCATTTTATCTGACTACCTATATGAAAAAGGTCTTTGATTTGAGAATAAAGAAACTAAGGAAATAGTCCCCAAGTTGCAGATCATCCGAAAAACTGACTGTTTTACTTTGATTCAATCTGGTATTCGTTATAACAGTGGATCGTGCCCATTTTTAAAAAATTTTTAAGTAATTGAAAATATACCAAAATAGAATATACTATTTTTTAAATACTTTTGTTTACCCAAAGAGGAAATACAGTGTTAAAGTTTTGAAAAATGTCACATCGACACAAATATCTCGAAAGATGTTCGAGATATGAATGGAAATTAAGCTGATAGCTTAGGTAATTGTAAGGAATGGGAAAGTCGACAAAATTCCGTCCAAGGTGAATTTTTGTACAGACGTTCTTTGAGGTGTCCCAAACCCAAATCCGCAAAAATCACAGTATGGTTAACCAAGATATTGAAGGTTAAAGTATTTTGCAAGTATCTCGCGTTCTGTGCATCGGACATCCATAAAGTTGTTATGAAAGCTGTAGAGAATTTAATTATCTACAAGACTGGTCTCTTGCATTTTTTCCCGAAACTTTGCCCTTTTTGAGATATTCCAGATCAAAGTTCTAATTCTTTGACGTCCAATACATTGGGCGCGAGATATTTGCGAAAAAACCTTGTTTTGGGATGGATGTCTGATGCACACAACGCAAGATATTTGCAAAAAATGTTGAATTTCAATGTTGCGATTCTTGTAATTTTTGCGAATTTATTGAATTTGCATTATGTCAATCAGTGGCGAAAATCGATTTTAAGCATCCGATAATTTTGACACCACTGAGTTTTTGAAAATTCAAATGAATCCAATTTGTTTTCTAATTGTGTTTCAAAAAAAAGGTATCTTCAATTTTATTTGAGTAATGAGTAATTTTCGTGTTATCTTTTTTGTTCAAAATGAGCTTGTCTCATAATTGAACAAATCGAATATAACTGAAAAACTCTTCATATCAAAAAAATATTGTAAAACGGTATAATAGTGATGCAGAAAGTTTAATTTTCTGGGGTATAGCAAATAATGAACAAATTTGTATACCAGCGCTATTCCGGAATTTGAATGATTAATTGTATGATATTTATTTAAAGTTACATTGTAACAGAAAACCCTATAACTTTTTTTATGAAACTATCTAGTTTAATATTATGATTTCCGATTTTTATGCAATTCTGTAGTAGATAATTTTAGATTTTATAGAAAAATAAATAACTCAAAAATAACTATATATATTTTTTCACACAGTTATGAAAGAAATAGACTGAAGGATTTCGAAAAATATCAGTGGCGTTAAAATTCTGGGGTCTTATGTTTTTTTGTTGCTGTTTTCCTGCATCTCTACTTAGTTGCAATGTTGCATTGCAATGTAAACAAATTTAATAAATTTTAACATTATATTTAAGTCACAATTCCAAGTTTCATTAACATTATACCAAATATTTTTCGAGATATTTGCATGTCATTTATGGGAAATTCAAAAAAGTTTAACGCCGAGAATTTACAAAACTAGCTAAAATATATAAAATAATCTATAAAGATTCACTCTCTTTTTTACCGGAGGCAACTCTGTATATTATAGAGACACACATATGATATTTGTTTTCAATTATTAGGTATTTCCCGGTATTTATTTAAAAGAAGAGAAGGAAGGTGGGAACGCGAGAGCATATTAATGTAGGAAGTCCACTTTTAAAAATATATCTACATTTATTTATAATATTTCATTTTTAACAGCAATATGTTATTTTAGACCAGTGAGAGCGTCAGTTTAGATCTGTTAACTTTTGAGGATTTGGAATTGTTGAGATCAAGAAAAATCACAAAATCTGTGGGGTCCAGCAATAATAACAGAAGATACCTTATAGTCACTTATGTGGTGGAATTTGATAAGTACGTACATGTGCATTTTATTGTTAATTTCCAGTGGCGGCTCGCCAGGAGACGCAAGTGACGCACCCTGCTTCACCTAAAATTTCCGTTTAATTGTGCAATTTAAAATTATTTTTAAGTTTGTATATGTCACGAGCCGCCACTGTTAATTTCGTAATTATATTATTATATCTTTGTCACTGGAGCAATATAAAACAGTTTCCAACAGTCAGAGGTATGCACCTTCCGATGTAATGCTTACATAATGGTCAAAATTCATTGTTTGGAATCGCGATTCGTTTGACTATTAGAAACTACGCGCTAGGCACAAAGCTATTAGTATTAGACAGAGGGATATAGCAAAAATTATACAAATAATTTTGTACAAAGTTTATTTCTATATTTTATTAAATAATATCAGCAAATAAAATTGATGCAAATTAAAAAATGAAAGCAAAAGTATTAAATTCAAAGACGGCGGTTTTTTATAGTCATTCGGTGAATGACCTCGGACATAAATATATGAGAATAATGAAAGATTCAACTACTACTATTAGAAATTGACATATATTTTTATTTTTAAGAATATGTTAAGAGTTTGGCTTTGGTGTGGAATGCGTGAGATGCATAGAATATAGACATTGCGCAAGCTTAGGCAAAATTGTCTAACTGTAAACGCAAATTCTTAACATAAGCACACAAAAAAAGAAAAATGGTCTGTTCCAAAGATTAGACCCATGTATCCTTATGCATTTTCATCCGCTGAATTCGAATCCTGGGCCAGAATTGCTTCATCACCCTCCATTTTCTTTTAATCGTGAAAAACCGCCCTTAAAACAGAAAATATGGAAAATCTCGCTTCGGGAGGGATCAGCATTAGATAAAATTGTAGAAATCGACTGAAAATGACTGCAGGGCCATATTCGTATGTATTTTGATGCGGTGATCATTTTTTTAAACCACGAAAAACCGCCGTTAAATGCAGAAAATATGGAAAATTCTATTTTTCAAAACTAGAAGGAACTTCATCTTTCATTCCCACTAGCAGATTAGCATTTTTGGCAGGACAAATACACATTCATTTTTGCTTGTTTTTTTTAGTTTCGATAAGTACTGTGTTTATGTGTCTAATATACAAACTGTTGGTTCCCTATTGAGTTTCGCCAGCAGTTTGAGAAACGAAACACACAAAGCAATTCCCTTTTTTTTCCTCTATTTCTTTTTAAATTTCTAATGATGAAATTCAGTTGAGAATCTTCGGCGATAAACCTTCGAACTTTCGAACGAAATTTCATTTCCTGATGTATTCTTTTTGAAGCCCATTTTATTGTCCTTGCCTGTAATCAGAATAGTGACAGTGAGCAGCAGATCCACATTGGCAGAGTCCCTGGGAAACGGAAGGAGTTTCCCATTTTAGGTTTATTTTGTACGGTATAAAAAGACTTGAGGGTGATAGATCGATTCCGACTTCGGTTTCGGCTTTAGCACGTCAAAATGCATATGGACCTGCAGTAACTTTCATTCTCTTTTTACAATTGTTCCAAATGATATGGGATTTTCCGTATTTAAGGGTGTTGTTTCGGCGATTTAAAAAAACTGGGGGAGAACTGAATTAGGATGCTGATTCAGTGCATCAAAATACATATAAATATGGTCCTGCAGTCACTTTCAGCCGCTTCCTACAATTATACCTAATGTTGATGCTTCCCAAAGCGAGATGTTCTGTATTTTATGTATTTAAAGATGTTTTTTCGCGATTCCAAAAAAATGGAGGCTGATGGAGCAATTCTGAAGGCATAGATCTAGCCTTTGAAACACGCCACTTTTCTTTTTTGCGTGCCTGTATAATTAGTATTTGAACCACTTACTATACTAACCATTCACTATTAATTAACATAAAAATTATTCCATAGAATTCGATACCCTTTACCTCTGGAATACTGTGGTCCACCTGATCCTGTAATACTACAAGGAACCATACGAAGATTAGAAATAGAACTAGCAAGAGCTCGAGAAGAACTTTCGTTGAAGAATAATAACAATGATTCAAGGAAAATATATTACCTACAAAAAAGGTAATCATAATTCTTTGCCTACATTTTAATTACCTGTATTAAAATTCTCCCATATTTTTCTGTTATTGAAAACAAATTTTTCCTGGAACTGTGGAAAACTAAAAAAATATATAGTGTTTTCATCTTTATTTTTTTAACTGCTAGAGTTGATGAACTGACCGAAGAGAATGTTCATTTGCAAGAGGAAATTCGTCATTTATCAAAGTTACTCGAAAAAAAGCCCAAAAATCAAGTATTGTCGTTACAGAAAGCAGTGAGCAACCTAGAAAAATGTGTAGTGAGCGAAAGGAATTCCCATCATGAATTGGTTGAAAAACTAAGAAGCGATAAAATACACCTTGCCAAAGAACTGGATAAAGTCAAATGTTCAGAAAAATGTCTAAAGGCAAAATTAACTAAGACCAACCATGCGTCAAGGTAAATTTCAGTATACGGTACCTATTACTATTTTTTTATTATTCCATTAAATTTTTCTACATAATGGTCAAAAAGCATAAAAAATATAACACGCACGTATTTCGCACTGTTAATATAATCCAATTGTAGAATGGGGCTTGGAGATCATCCAAATAAAGTACCACTTACTCAAAGAAGATCATGTCACAGTCTTCATACAATGTATAAAAGACACCAGTCACCTGCTTTGGTAGAGGAATCTAGCATGAGGAAGGAGTTGTCAAATAAAAAGTCTCAGGATTTCATAGAACCTAGGTCAGTTACAACATTGAACTTAAAGGCTATAGTTATTACAACATAGAAAATCTCGTAATATGGAGCTATCGTAGATTATTGGGGTAAAATTTAAAGTAAACTTACCCTTATGGAAAATTGTTTCGTTTAGTTCTTAGGAAGTGTCAAATTGTAGGGAAACATTTTTAGTTTTTTTCTTATTTCAAATAACTCACTTTTTGACATAGTAATCAAGTAACTGCACGTACAGTAGTTTTACAAAGAAAACATATTTTTTTATATAAACATTTTTCTATGCTCAAATTATTAATTTGGTTGTGAATCTTCCTCAACCAATATATATCACTTTTTGTTTCACCTACAATTTGTTCAATCATTCCACAACAATAATGACAACTTCATACACTTTTTGTTTCATCCAGTTCCAAATTGATAAATCAAGAGGTGTTAAAATTGGGCCCATGGAATTGGTCCACCTTTTATTAGCCATCTTTCTGCAAAGTGGATTTTTAGGTAGTGTCGACCATTACTACTGAAATAAGGGGGACCCATCCAACTGAATCCATAATTAAGTTGTAAAATTAAAAGAAATCTTCTAACTGGGCGATTAAATCCTTTTCAAGAAAGCTTAAAAATTCTATTGAAAGAATCTGAGCCACAAATTTATGCAACTCTTCTTGCAAATCGCGGTTTTTTGTCTTATTGTGTCACGAAAATGTGTGACACACATTCATTGGAAACTACATAATATATATTTATTGTGTGTGGTCCATTTATTTTTCTGGAGAGACTGAATTCAATAGAATTTTTAAGCTTTCTTGATGAGGATTTAATCATTCAGTTAGTAAATCTTCATTCTCTTTCTTTAAATTTACTACAGTTATTGGATTTAATTGGATAGGGGCCCCCTTTATTTCAGTCATAATGTTCAGCATTGGATGAGCAGTTTGTGGAAAGATGGATGATAATAAGAGAAGGATCAATTCCATGGCTGCTCACTATTTCTTACACTTCAAATTTTCATTTTGGGACTGGATAAAATAAAAAACAAAAGTATGAAGTTTACATTATTACTAGGTATATAAAAAACACGGCATCAGTACAGGAATATTCACAACCAAATTGATAACTTAAAATGTTGTTGAGAGACTTTTACTTTAGTTTAAAAGCTTTATAGAAAATGTTATTAAGGGTTACCCCGTTTTAACTATCCTATACAGGTATTTTTCTTATTTTAAGCATTACAGAAATCGTTAAATAGGCAAAAATGTACAGAATTTTCTGGCGATCATGGATCCGTTCTTCTTAAATTTAGAAAATTCCGAATAGATTCGAAAATATTCGAAGAAAACCGACTTTATGCTATTTCTTTTCTTACTCACTTTCACTTGTTTTCGAAAGTTTTAAGTCAAAAATATTTTCCTAATCTTTCAAATTTGCACAATCCATTCATATCATTAAAGAAACATTAACAGTTCTTATAAACATAGTTGCTAAAATGCTTGTTTCCCACATATACACTATACAGTCAATTAATATTTTAAACTTTTATATTTTCTTCAGAGCAATAACTTGAATCTTTTGTTTTTACTCAAATCTAGCAATTTTAAGATAAATTGACAATAGTCATTTTTTTTATCGATAGATAAATGAAAATCAATTTACTTTGACCCTATATGCAACGTTGTCTTTGCACACATATTATAAAAATTATATTTTGTAATATAGAGATTTATTCTAATAACAAAACTTAGCACCGGTAATAATAATAATAATAATATTCTTACTAGGTATTCAAAAAGTGCTATCAAACATGAGAGAAGTGTGGAGAGTTCCTTGTCTAGTAACAGATACGCAGATCCAGAGTTGCTTGATTTACCCATCAACGATCCAAGGAGTAGAACACCTAGTCCTTCACCTAGGAGAAGTAAATCAAGGACACATTATCATTCTAGATGCAGTTCTATTGGTTCTGGAACAAGTTCCAGGGCAAGTTCAAAGTGTTCTTCGTCTAGAAAACATAAGAAACCCGGTGAATTGGATTATAAAAAATTGGAGCAGAAAATTGCCGATTTACAGAAAATGGTAAAGCAAAATTTGAAGCGCACCAAGTGATAGTAAATTTTTTATGTATTTTTTCATCTGTATTTTTGTGGTATGTAATATTTTTTTTACTATACATTTACAAAATAAATTTTTCCCAATTTTGAGATATCTTGTTTACAATTTCGACCTCTAGCCATAACTTTCTACTACTTCTAACTATAATTGGAAGCAACAGAGTAATCGAGAATATAAATATCCATGTAGCATTTATTGGTAAAAATATAAAATACAATTTTCTAATGTTAACAAACGCTTTATTATTAAAAAAGTGGCACCGTAATAACATGTTATGTGATTTTACCTTAAATCACAACCAATAACAATTAAAAATTGTATGTACATCCTGTCGGCATCACCAAAGTCACAAAAATATGTTGATGTCCAATGTTGCTAATTAAATATTATTTTATTAGTAAGTAAATATATTTGCAGAAAAATAATTTAAAAGTATTATAGAAGTAGTAAGTAGTATTCCTGACAATGTTGTAAAAAAAATATACTTACTAATTTTTTAAAACAGTATCGTATATTATATGTATATATTTTTTATTCAGGGTGATTCAGAATTAGTATCAGAACTAGAAGTATGAGTACTTATGAAAATAAATAGGGATGTATGAATTTTTTTTGGTAAAGAAATTAAAAATATATACAGGGTCGGAAAGTCCCTTCCCTTCTTTATCGCTCTCACGTAACGGCCGATGAACCATGGGGACTTTCCGACCCTGTATATTTTTTGATATTCATCACAAAATTTATAATTTTATTCTACATTGAAATTTAAGCTAAGCTGTCGTCTACATGTCGAAATAATTTCTTATTTGAATCACTTTTTTAAAAATGGCGTAGAAAAATAATTTACAAATTTTCGTTAGTTGTCAAAATACAAAATTGTATTTTTTTTAAATATTTGAAATAATAAAGGGAGCGATTTTAAAAAATTGTTTGTATAAAACATCCCGTTTGTTTTCAAAAGTATTAACGCATACTCTTGGATCTGATGACTTACCTTGTAATTAATTATAAGTGGGATAAAAAAGAGAATTCAATGTGATTATTTTCTACATTTTGTTTATGTAAATTGTGATTAATTATATCTTTTCGTCATAAATAGCGTTTCAGATGTGACGTACGAAGCATCCAGCCAGCCAACTTTCAAATAAATGTAGGATGTAGTGCATATCGAACATCTCATCTGAAATGGGATTAAACTTATTTTAATTTTATTAAAAAAAAATTGTTTAATATCCAGGGAAAAAAATTGTCATTTTTTAAGTTTTAAAAACTCCATGCAATAATGCCGGAAAAGTCAGCATATAAAGTTTCCATTTCAAAATAGCAAAGCTAAAATTACAGAAAAAAAAACATGTAAGAAAAAATTAAAGTGGTCATATCTTGGTACTGAAACGTGGGTCCCATATGGGGATGATTTTTAAACCCATATTGTAAACCTTCATGGTAAAAATATTTCGAGCAAAATTTGCAAGACAAAAAAATGAAAATAGGAGTGGCCGACCCCAACATCTTGAAAACTGCACTAAATGGTGCTTAGGGTCTACCAACATATGTCGTACTTTTAGGATAATCTTTGCGATTAGAATGACTTATTATTATTATTGCTCCTAAAAAACAGCACTATTAGCAAGCTTCATTATCAAAATATGACCATTTTAATTTTTGCGAGCCATCGTTGGTCAATTATTTTAAATATAATTGCTTGCTAATTGGTCTAGCTTAAAAACATCAAACCTTTAAATTATAAAATATGTGGGACCTTTAATTCATACAGAACTTTTATTTTAATTTCGAACAATAACAAAAAGTATTAATTTTATTTTTAGTACTGTTTACAGATCTTTTAATAAAATATACATCAATGAAGCAAAATTGTATCGAACTCCTAAAAGTGACTAGATAAACCCTAAGTTTGGAACCTATAAAGTACAATTTATTTACATTTATAAAAAGTTAAAAAAATAATAATAATATACAGAGATCTACTATCCTCTTCCACTCCAGAATTGCTTCAAATCATCTAATGCTTCAAATATTAAATTCGTTGATACATTATGTATATTGGCGTCGGGGTAATAACATATTTCCTGGACTATGTTGTCCTTCGAAGTTAAATCTCGAGGTGTGTTTTTGGGTTGCGTAGAATTTGGTGTTGAAGGTTTTGAATTTCTAACGATATTTTGCAGATGAGTATCTGAAAAATAACACATAATTAATTTGTTAGGATAAAAAATATATTTAATATATTTTCAGATTATTTGAAACATATTCCGCATGAAATGCCTTTAAATACTAATTGCGACAAATATAATAAATTATTCTAGACATACAGATAATTTCAAATTACATGTATATCACTTTTATTTTATCGTCTCCCAGCAGGATTAAGATTATAATTTCATTATGACATTTCACCCAGCATTCCTCTTCAACTATGAATGTAAAAGAGACAGAAGGGTAGGATTTCAATTTAGTAACATATACATTTTATTTATTATATCATCCATTAAAAACAACGCAATTTCACTATCCTTTAAACTCGGAAACAAACAATCAGTGACGGAAATAGACTCCATTAAAATCTTTTTTTAGAATTAGTGTTAGTGTCATGAAGCTACTTTATATTGCTTCATAAAAAATTAGAGTTTATACCCCTTTGTTTGCCATACATGAATTACGAGCCCAGGCTCATAATAGTTCGGCCGGTAATAATTTGAAACTATATTTTTGAAGATAATATTAAACTTAAAACAAAGGTGCAAAATTTAATCAAAACTATTACAACTATATTCTAAACTATACTTTTAAGTAGCTGAAACTGAAAATTATAATTAAATTACGTAAAGAAACAAATCAGTATAACCAAAAATGTATTTCACGTGGTGGGTCATAATAGTTCGGCCAAAACCTAATATTGCGTTACGTCGCCTTTATTAGCAATAACCGCCTTAATTCTACTGGGCATTGTATCCACAAGTCGTGCACACTCTTNTTTGTTTCTTTACGTAATTTAATTATAATTTTCAGTTTCAGCTACTTAAAAGTATAGTTTTGAATATAGTTGTAATAGTTTTGATTAAATTTTGCACCTTTGTTTTAAGTTTAATATTATCTTCAAAAATATAGTTACAAATTATTACCGGCCGAACTATTATGAGCCTGGGCTCGTATGTATCCAAATGTAATTATTTATTAGTCTAGATAATTATTCAAATTTTTTTCTGAAACATTGCATAAAGCCTATAGCTTATATGTATAAAAAACATTTTAAGGGTTCTAGATACGATATAAGAATATTGAAATTAAAGCTATAGAGCTTTCAAAATAAAAAAACATTCATATAAAAAAATCCTTTGTACCACACTAACATAATAAGTCATTTTGTTGACAATAAATAATATATTCGATGAGTTTCAATAAACAAGTCAGTATCATCCAAATCAGTTGGACGTGCAAAATGTTTAAATATATAAAACCCATAAAAATTGTAGGTGCATCTAATAAAATTGTAGGTTAAAAATATCTCAGCAGTTATATCTACCTAGTTCAGGAGCAGTTCCCATTAAAGAATAATTTTTATAAAAATAAAAATCTGTTAATAGACTGACGCTAGTAAAATACATAATTTAATAACTAACATTAGACCAATCAACAATAATAACACTATTTTCACAAATTTTTATAAATTCGTCACTGATCCACAGTAACATAATTATTATTTATTTAAACCACAATTGCATTGTTTTAAAAAAATACCAGAATGACGTCTGATTTTATCAATGAAACATCTTTTTCTTTATTTCCTAATGAATTGATTTTAAAGCAAACTACTTTCAATTGTAAATAAAATGTAATCATCATAATATACAAAACTAGCAGTAACCAAAAAAATAAGTTAATGCTGCCCGTTATTGCACACAATGACTGTTATAAAATAACTCGTACATGTATGTCTAATCACGTGAGACTCTGTTGTGTGCTACACCTCTAACATGTATTTGAAAACTACTAGGCGATATATATATGATTCTGGATTAAAATATGGAGATGGGTCCTTCGCAAAATGCATCTCAGCATTTTTCAAATTAACAAATATGGGGATAAAATACTATTAGATTATGGTGGTTTAGAAACAAATATGGTATATTAATGCAGGAAAGATGAAACATTTGAATCAAACATGATTTATAAGAATATTTTAAATTTTTTTTTTCAAATACGAGGGTTCCCCTTAGGACAGCGCATATGCACACATAAAAGTTATAAGGTGGTCAAGGGGTGAGGTGTCCACAATAAATAACATCCTGTATATGATTTTCTTACATGTGAATGTAATATACTAGACTCAAATACTTAAATAAAAACTGTTTTAAAGTTATACTAGAAAACATTGTTTCACGGTACCACATTGAGGGGGCTATATCTCAATAGATAAGTTAAATGTTAAATTACTTGGCTAATATAATATTGTTTATCGTTCTGAACTCATATAACTAATTTGAAATATTACCCAAATGTCCTAACTTCCTGGTCAGTTCTCTTATCTGAGCATTTTGTTCCTCAGACTGAATATATAGTTCTTTAATTGCTTCTTGTATTTCAGTTACTTCACGTTTTTTCATCTCCTCTTTGGTTGCTTCTTTTCTAGAGGACCTAAATGGGGAATGACATTTGTTAACTGGTGATATTGTCCTAATGCAATGAAATATATTATTACCGATTATATTCAGCTATGAGTACACCTGCCGCTATTGTGAATATAATTCCCTCTCCAAGTAAGTTAGCGCCTAATTCTATTGCCATAGCTTCATTTAACACCGGTATGTTTACTGGTTTTCCTAAATTTAATATCCACATTTTTGCTTTCACCTCACACCAGTTATAAACTAAAATATAAATACAGTTAAATATTTATTGTTTATTATATTTATATTGAAGTTCCTACATTGGGCTGGTGGCATACACACATATTTCCTAAATACTGGAGAACTCTTTGCTTGTTCTTTCACAAGATTTGCTATTGGTTTACTTATTTGTTTTAATAGTAAAGCACCTAATTTAGCCGCAGGAAAAGCTCCTATTACCATTTTAATGCTTAAATTTAAAAATTATATCATTCTATAAAATGTCAATAATGTCATTCCTATAAAATTGGAGGTTATATTTTCTTCTTCCTCATCTAATTTATTGACACTCAATAGGTGGTACGTTTACGTGATAAGACAAGTTACAACACTTACAACCATTTGTTCAAAATATCTCTAATAATTGTTATTCAAGCCCATGCAATTTGCGCAAATGGGCTTGTGCATTCCAACTGATATACGTAAATTATTATTTTGATGCATATGCAAAAGCCCCGACACAGACATGACTTAAACGTACGTAACAGACGGGTGAAGGCGGCTCTGGATGAACTGGCCCAGAACAACTGGGCTAGGCACCTGGAGTCGCTGGATCCACAAGACAACAGCCTCTGGAAAACGCAGAGGGCCCTGCGACAGACCGCTCGCCGTAAAATTCCTCCAATCCACGGTAGTGTGGGGGTGGTTTACACGAACCAGGAAAAGGCCGAGGCTTTCGCCGATAGCCTGGAACTGCAGTGTAGACTGCCTCAGCTGCCCGACGAAGACGAGGAATTCGAGATAGTGGCTGAGCGCGCGGCCCGACGCGTCGACAGAGAGCCAGACAATGACATAATCCCCCCCGCAACACCTGACGAACTAAGACTGACAATACGCAGACTTAAAAACAGAAAAGCCCCCGGACCCGACAATATACATAACACGACACTTAAACGACTACCACACAAGGGCCTCATGGCCCTACTAAACATAACAAACGCGACACTCAGACTAAGACACTTCCCTACCCGCTGGAAAACAGCAAACATAATCCTTATCCCAAAACCCAACAAAGATCACACCATCCCATCCAACTACCGGCCCATTAGCCTGCTCCCGGCTATGAGCAAAGTGGTAGAAAAAATTATCCTAACCCGTCTAAGAACCCACTCCCAAGAACTGCAAGTCATTCCAGACGAGCAGTTCGCCTTCCGACCCAATCACTCCACTGAACTCCAAATCCTTCGCCTTACCGAGCACATCACGGCGGCCTTCAACAGGGGACAGTACACTGGTGCTGTCTTCCTGGACGTCGCAAAGGCCTTCGATACGGTTTGGCATGAAGGCCTACTGATGAAAATGCTCACCAACCAATATCCCATATCCTTTACCAAACTCATAAAATCCTACCTACACCACCGAAAATTCCGCATCCAAATCCAAGATTCCCTTTCCACCACCCGTCCCATGGAGGCCGGTGTCCCCCAGGGCACCGTCCTGTCCCCACACCTATACACCATTTACAACTCCGACATCCCACATCCCCCCAACACCAACATATACTTATACGCCGACGACCTGACAATCACATCCCAATCCGTAGATCCTAGATATTCCGTCT